TCATCGTCATCGTCATCACCACCATCAGTCATCATCATCAACATCTTCACCACCACCATCAATTATCATCATCAACATCATCACCACTATCCATCACCACCACACCGGCCGCCGTCGCCGTGGCAACTCGACGCTTTTGTACCTTGAACACGAAGCCAAAGTTCCGCGCGGCGCCGACGAGGGCTGCTTCATCGGGTGACTGAGCCTGGTACTCCAGCTTCCCTGCAACACACCAGCGCGCCGCGAGAGAAAGTTAATAGACCGCAGTCAGCGCACACACACGCACGCACGCACGCACACACACACACACACACACACACACACACACACACAAACACGCACACACACGCGCGCGCGCGCGCACGCAAGCAGCGCACGCACGCACGCACGCACGCACGCAATCAGCGCACGCACGCAATCGCGCTAATGGAATATGATTGATGTCTTCTTTGCCGCCGAAACTCGGATGCATTGTTGGCGCGCGCGCGTGCACACAAAAAGGTCCCCCTCGCTAGCTTTGACGTTGATTCGGCGCCGCGTCGCGACATTAAGGCATCGGCTAGCTTTGAGTTTCACCAGACATCACCGGAACGCGCGAGCCACTTTTAGAGGCACTTCGCCTTGGAAAACTCAAACTCCGAAACCTTGGAGTTGAGAGCTCGCATTGCTAGAACGCAGACCCCTGAACGGTCAACCCACGGGCACTTGGAACGTTTCAATCGTAAAATGATGGTAAATAAACACGAAATGTATTTACTACCAAAGTCTTAATGTTTCTCTACTCTCTTTAGCCTATTATTGCCGATAACTTCCTGGGTTGGGAGACGATTCCCAAGGTGAGGATAACCTATGAAACTAATGAACCTAATGAAACTATATGAACATGGCAGGCTTTCTAGTTGTTTTACGACGTACCGAACGCAGTCTTGCCACTATTAAAACACCGTTTCACAGCCTCGTTACATTAACAGCTGCGCTGGGCAACAAATCGACAGAAAGACTCAACTCGATTGGAATTCGCAACCCAGAAAAGTGTGCGACCCCAGCCACCGCGACCACGGCTGCCATGACCTTGGGCACCGTGAGCCTGGTGCAATGACCTTGGATGTCACGGCCACGGCCATCGTGACCTTCGCTACCGTGAACTCATCAATGATTGATTATAATCGGATAATGCTGTTATCTGTGAATACTAGATATGAGTTCGTACCAAAAACATTATGGGCAAATCATGCATTCTGGCGTTTTTCCGATGATGTTTTTGTTTGTCTGATTAATTGGTTTCATGATCGCTTAGTTAATTGGTTGCTGCAAATGCTCACCACTGCCGCTACCACGGCGAGCCGTACTCCTACAACTACCACGGCGAACACCACTAATACCACCACCATCTCTACTGCTACTGCTACCTGCATGTACCTTTACCACCACTGCTCAACTACCACGGCGAACACCACTAATACCACCACCACCTCTACTGCTACTGCTACCTGCATGTACCTTTACCACCACTGCTCAACAACCACGGCGAACACCACTAATACCACCACCATCTCTACTGCTACTGCTACCTGCATGTACCTTTACCACCACTGCTCAACTACCACTGCTGCCGCTGCTGCTGCCGCCGCCACCAGCAGCATGACGACGGTGACGATGACAACAAGAATAACAAAATTAACTACTACAATTACTACCACTGTTGCTGTCGCTGCCACTACCGCTACCACTACCACTACTACTGCCGCCGCCACCACCACCACTACTACTGCCGCTACCATGCATTACCACCACCACGACCAGCACCATGACAACAACAACAGCAACAGCAGCAGCGGCGACAACGACAACAACAACAATTACAACAACAACATCAGCTACTTGCTCATAAAGTTATTTATGATTATATTTTTATTATTTTTAACTTAATTTGGATCTAACTAAGATAAACTTGATTAGCATGTGAACTATAGAGATCTGTTGAAATTATTCAATCAAACATCAGCTACGACTTACACTACCACCGCCACCGCCACCGCCACCACCGCCCCCCTTCCCCACCTCCTCCCCCTCTCCCTCCGCTCCTCCCCTTCTCCCTCTCCTCCTCCCCCTCTCCCCTCCTCCTACACTCACCGTCCTTGATCTCGGGCATGACGGTGTGGCAGAGCGCCAGCACGGTGAAGAGCAGGCAGACCTGCGGCTCGCCGCGCCGCACTGCCGCCAGCAGGCTGCCGTCGTAGAAGACAAAGCTCGGCTCGTACATCGGGTTCCAGCTGAAGTCCAGCTTCTTCGTGTCCTGAAAGCCGCAAAAGAACGAACGATGATCAAGGAGTGAACGCCGCGAAGGGTTGACGATTGAACGCTGGGAACGAACGATGATCGATGATTGAATGCCGGGCAAACGAACGAAGGAAGATCAACGATTGAACTCCGTGAACGAAGGAAGACAATCGGCGATTGAACGCCAGGAATGAACAATATGGTAT